TATTCAGCCCAAAAAGATAAATATATATGTATACACAAGAAACGCAGCCACGCGCTTCAAAGTGTCAACTGCCTCTCGTACAGGTACTTCATGTCTTTCGCTGTTTCCACAGCTCTGGAAGCACTGTTGTTCTCCCGCGATGCAAGCACAGTCAAATCTGAATCGATCCGGGCAAGCAGCTGCGTCAGATCGGCAGCTCGCACACTTGCAGCATGTTCCTGCTCTACTTTCAGCTTCTCGCTCCTCACACTTTGCTCCACCCTGGCAATATGTGTCCTGCTTGGCGTGGTTGGGTCTGATCAAGAACAGCTCTTTAAAGGACTGGTAAATCTTCCCTTGTTACGTCGAAAAACATTCTGGACACCAGGAAATGAATCAAACAAAAGGGGTGCAACTCTCATGAGATTTGAAGATTCAATGGTAACAAAACCGAAGGTTGTAAAGAAGAAGTCGGTCCGGAAGGCTCCGACCATCTGAGCATCTCCTGGGGGAACTGTCGCTTCCAAAGAGTGTAGGATATCAGGATCAAGATACCCAAAGCGAAATTGATTTCGCAGATCGGATTCCATCGCTGCGAACTCCCCAGATGGCGCAATTTTCTGAAGAACATTCAAGTAGTGGAGGAACCCTCCGCATGCTTGATGTTTGCTGAGAGCATCCCGGTACGTCAGTGGCTTGCGCATCTGCGGAGCACATCCATCATGGTCGGCCAACATTCGTTCCAAGAACAGCATGACCTAAGTCAGTGTGGCGGTGGAAATTTCAGAAATCAAACTGGTCAAGGTTTCAACATGATCGATGCCAACTCCATGGCAACAACAAACCCCAGGGTTCCAAACACCACCATTGCTACCAGCCCAGTCACTAACTGATCCCCCTCGCGGTTGCGCAACTCCTCCTTCCATTGCTCCAAAGAGTTGACTCCTGACGAGAAGCCCTTGTTAAAGACCTCCTTGGCCAAGACTTCATGGGTGAGAAGCTTGGTCATGCCTCTTGTCCGAACAGCGTCTGTCAACGTCTTCACCACAGGAGGCGGAATTCGAAGCCTCAAGTTGAAGACCGCCTCTGCTTCCAACTTGCCGAGGGAAAATGCCTTCGCGACTGCGGTTGCATTGTTCCATTCCTGATCACTGGCAAAAACATCACAAGCGTGCCTGGCGACAATCTGCGAAAAGAAAACACATGACTCATTGCGACTGTCACATGGCGTTCTGACCCAATGACCAAACTGAAAGAAAGTCCGTCCTCCATCTGTTGCTTGACCCCTGGACCACCACTCCGTTCAATAATTTCCACTTGGCGTAAGAAATTGAGTGCGTGGGGAGGCCGACGGGTCTGTGTGTGCTGGAGCGTTGCACCTTACACGTCGCCATCGGGGTTCTTCTCAAAATGCCGGAAAAACAATCACACGAAACAGTCAGACTGTGGAACAGATCGAGCAAATTCTTGACTTGCAACAACGTAAGAATGGAAACAAACCAGCCTCGGTTTGCCATAACTTTGCCCTTGGTGTCATCTGCAAAGACCCCGAACGAAGCATGAATGGTTCCAAAGCTCACCTCCGTGAAGGAGGTGGTGTGTGGTTCCACGTGTTTCCCGACACGTGAAACGACATCATAAAAAACTCAAACTAATAAATGACCCTGCCTTCACCCAGTGTGGCACGTCATCCTGGAGGTCCAGCTCCCGAATACCCTGAATAGTGATTAGAAGCATGACTCCTCGTTTCCAACCTTTTACGTATGCCGTCGAGAATGGCGGTAGCATTCCACCTGGGCAAGCAAACAGAAAATCACAACCTGGCCCTTGCAAACCCACCAATGAGCAGTAGCGGTTGCCCAAAAATCTGGCTAGGCACTCCCGATGACTGCGGGCAATTCCTTGTACTCTGCTTCCAAATAGGCGGCTGGAACAGCTGTCATTGACAGCTTCTCAGTCCCGACTCGGTCAGGGTCTGACGCAAACCTAACAGCAAAAAGTCAACACTGTCGCAGGATAACCGACAGAGCACCAAGTAAGTCCCCTAGACTAGTGGATATCGGCACTGCAGCATTGAATCTTTAGCTGCTGAGCGTCTGACCCCTCCGTGAGAATCAATTGCATGAGCAATTCAGCCACCTCCGGGTCCATGTAACCAGAGACGCCGAAGTCAGCGCGGAACCCCAACATCCATGGTCTGAGTAAACACGGGCGCTCCATGGATGAGGCATACACCTTCCTGAAGCACTTGGCACAAAATAGACACTGGAATCATGCGGTTCATAGCCGACCCTCCTGTTCGAATGAAATTGAAGGCATCTTAGGCCCGCTCAAACCGTCAGCTGGCGCAAAGCCATCGATGAACTCTGCGAATTTCAGCAGGCTGTCCTACAACAGATTGAAACTCATGATCCTGGGCTACATGTCAAACAGTTTCTCCAACAGCAGTACAGTAATTTTGCATGAGCCACATCAACAGTGTCCTGATCTGGGTATTTCTTTGCAAGATACTCTGACGGCCCACCAGCGGGCATGACAGAGTTTGCCAACCTAGGCTTTCAAATAGCCAAGTTAGAAAAATATTTTCTGTGGCGCTTGCGTTCAATTCGTAAACAGCAAAGCCGCAGGTCTTGCGCTGAGAAGCCAGTCTGTCAGCTTCCCAACGTGTGGCATATTCAGCAACTTGTCCGGATCAGCCTTGCCTGAGGCCTTCAGTTTCTTTCCGGAATCAAGACCTTCCGAGCTCTTGCGCTTCTTAGGCGCCATGGCCCAGAAAGCACAGACTTTTCAGTCACCCAAACTCCCAAACCCTCTCAAACGGAGCCTGGACTGACAGCAGGAGAAAATAATTTGAAGGCAGCCCGGCCCGCCCAAAAATGTGCGGAGATTCCACTCCAACATCTTTCCTCAACATACGTCTCAGGTAGGGTGGAAACAAAATCCCCGCGACACACACCTTTCTCCTTTTGCCACGCGCCATTATCATCTGTAACACTCTATGAAGACATCAGAGTGGCTATTATGGCAAAGACCCCATATACCTTTTGCGTATATAATGCTGTTCGCTGTTTCATGGAATGTATGTTCATACCTCTGTCATCGATGTCCTCACTTCAGCAAATTAGAGTACCTAGCACTAGGACCGGGAAAGTGACCAAATACTACTTTCCATTTCTGTGCCAGGCTTCATTCTAAGGTTTTCAGCCATGAACCTTCCACTTTCGCTGGTTGCAGGGTTGTTAGGATACTGAAAATGCAAAATACTCATGATTTCTTCGTTGCTTTGTAACCATGGAAAGGACGTGTATGGATGCGTTTATCTATATAAATTGATCGGGCTCTTTAAATTTGACTGCGATGAAATCCGTGGTTGGGAGGTCAATCACAACTTAGTAAGGCTTCAGGACTAAAACCAGCTTAGCAGTTGAAGATGCCACCTTGTCAGTCAGTCAGGCGTGTCAGGTCTTGAGTTGAGGGTTTTAGGGAATTGACAACCTAGGGTCCGAAGTTTTGACATTTCCAAATTGAACCCACCAATGACCAGCCACCCTGCTATCAAGATTGACAACATCACCACGGCCAACTGAAGGTGACTAATCCACCAGAATTCATGTCGCCAAAAGAAAAGAACACACAGGTAAACAGGTAAACCCAACCGTTTTCGCCAACGCGTTTCGCGAATCGGATCCTGACCGATTGGATTTATCAAACAGTTCGCGAATCGGATCCTGACCGATTGGATTTACCAATTAGGATACAAAGTCGGATGTGGGCAAAATGGACTCAGCAACAACTGCTGTTGAATCATTATTCACACAAGGCTAATCATGTTGCGCCACAACAAGAGTGGCTCGCAAACGACGGAAGTCTACACCATAGATTTGGGGACGGATTAGACCTCTGATTGGACTCAGGAAAAATCCGACTCAGGAAAAATCCGATTCAGAAAAACCGTTGTAACAACCGGCCCAGTGCCAGGTGTTGGGGACCAATCCGACCTCTGATCCGATTCAGGAAAAATCCGATTCAGAAAAACCGTTGTAACAACCGGCCCAGTGCCAGGTGTTGGGGACCAATCCGACCTCTGATCCGATTCGGGAAAAATCCGCCTCTGACAAATCATTGTACTAAATTGACACCAAACAACCAACTAGGTGGAAAAGCTGCGGTTGTGAAAATTGGTCCCATACAAAGCCAAATGGACAAGCATGGTTCCGAGGACCAATTGGACCTGCGGTTGGATTCGGGCCAACACATGACTTTATAAAAACAAGAAAGAACAAATTGGTCCCAAACAATGCCAAATAGAGAACGTGGTTTTGGGGACCAATCACACCTGTGATTGGTCTTGAATCAGTCTTAAAAAGCTTGGCCTCGAAGATTTAACTTGCCACAAATTAGTCTCCAGATGAACAATATTTTGAAGCCCAAATTGGGGACCAATCTGAGGTCAGATCGGTAGCCAACAGCAATGTCCCCACAAACATGTAAACGCGTGTGAATTTTGACTTACAGCTGTTCTTATCGTCAGGCATGTTTGGGGACCAATGTCAGGTCAGATCAGTCCCCCAAACCCAGCTGAAATTACTCCCTAAGATAGGACCAATTTGGCAATCCACTTACATCCAATTTTGATTTTTGTCGACTTGCAAAACCCTGCAAATTTGAATACACGGCGTTCGGGACCGATCCCGGGTCAAATTGGTCCTGAGCCCGCGGCCCCGCA